AAGAAAAGCCGCAGATTTCCAAGATCCGAATGGAAATTGCTTAGACACTAATGTATTGTTCTCTTTATCAACAATCTAACCGTTAAGCATTCCTAGGAGATTTCTCTTTCTGATATCATTCTAAGGAATCCTCAGAATGAAATCAGAAAGAGAAATGGAAAAGAATGCATAACAATGATGTATAGATTAGGCAAAATTACGTTACAAAGAACTGTTAGAAGTGCTAGGCAAGGTTGATTTATTTCGAAATGTTACAGTTTTTTGAATACATGTTTGTACTAGTGAGCCAACCAAAATGAGCTGACTCATTTTATAGTCCACCAAGAGAAGGGTTAACCAATCGGAAAGCTCAAAATATTTAATCCGACGTCTATAAAGGCAGCCATTTTGTTTTTTTCTCCCAAAATATCTTCACTGCCAACCTGATATCGAAAACTTAAAGAATTACTTAATACCGAAATTGTTTAAGGCTGAGAGCATTTCTATTAAGATCCCATTTTGTCCTGTTGCTTTCTTCCTCTTCATTTTATTCAGTGTCGATCTTACTTTAACCTTTAATACTCCCGGCCCTTGCTTATTTTTTGTGTATGTTTCTCTCTCTCTCATTTTGAGTATAGTTCTCTAACGTATTCACTTTCTCTTTGGTGTATTTTTTTTTAATTTATTATTTTTAAGTGTTTCTTTCTTTGATATTATACAGTCTGTCGATGAGCAAGCTTCTGTTTTGTTAATTCTTTTAATAGGCTGTGCATATTTGCTTTATCTGTGTTGCTCAGGCTTTATATCCTCGCGCAATTTTCATTGGCGATTTTTTGTTACTAATTTATATGTTTAGTGTCCTGTACTCTTTTTCCTGTGTTGCCATCGTTTGCTGTCGTTTTTTCATCATCTGTAGAATTTCGTCTGTTATACACGCTTTACTTCTCGTTTTACTTGCGCTGATCTCATTCGCCGACGCTACGACTGCTTCTTTCAACGTGTTTCACTTTGAAATTGTATTCTTATCTGAGTTATATTTGTTTTTTAATCTGTCTCTCTCTTTCTGTCTGTCTCTCTCTCTCCCTCTGTCTCTGTCTCTCTCTATCTGTCTGTCTGTCTATCTATTTCTCTCTCTGTCCTTCTCTCTCTCTCTCTATATATATATATATATATAGAGAGAGAGAGAGAGTTTAAAGGATATATACATATATATACATATAGTTTAAAGGATATATATATATATATTCATACATGTTTCATTAGATAATATAGACAAGTGTTGTCTATTTATTTTATGTAAATTCTTTTCATAACACTTGTCTATATAATTTAATGAAATATGTATAAATGAAAAATGCAGCTTAAATACACACAATATATATATATATATATATATATATATATATATATATATATATAAAGGATATATATACATATATATACATATAGTTTAAAGGATATATATATAGTTTAAAGGATATATATATATATATATATATATATATATATATATATATATATCATACATGTTTCATTAAATAATATAGAAAAGTGTTGTCTATTTATTTTATATAAATTCTTTTCATAACACTTGTCTATATTATTTAATGAAACATGTATGAATGGACAAATGCAGCTTAAATACACACAATACAATATATATATATATATATATATATATATATATATATATATATATATATCCTTTAAAACTTGAGTAATTCAGGAATCTGACTTATTGCAGTTTAGGTGTTGCTTTGGTCTTCTTTATTTTCCTTGGTTTTGCACTGACGTAGCACATAACTTGAAGATGATCGCTCCCGCATTTAGTACTTGGATATATTTTTTGCGTTTCTGAAATTTTGTTGATAGTTGCGTAATCAACCTAGTACTTTGGGTCTCTTCCTAGGCGTCTCCATGACCTTAGGGGTCTTGGGTGCCCCGGAAACCAGATGTTGGTAAATATTTGATCATTTGTAGGGTACTGTTTAACCCATCTGTCGCTACGCTTATTTCGGGTTTCTAGTCAGAACTTGCCAACTGTTTTTTTGTTTTTTTTCGGAACTTGATGATAGTGATTTTCTTTGTTTTACAATGAGCTTATCAATAATATAAACTACAACAACTGAATCTCCAATTAATTCTTAGGTCACCAAATGAATATTAAGAAAGAAAGAAAGAAAGAAAGAAAGAAAGAAAGAAAGAAAGAAAGAAAGAAAGAAAGGTGGGTTTGTAGAAACAAAGAAATGTTAGAAGGAAAGAAAGGAAGAAAAGAAATGTCTACAGAATGAAAGAAATGTTAGATGGAAGGAAAAAGAATAAAATAAAGAAAATGAAATTACTGTAAAAACAAAGAAACAAAGAAAGAAAAAATGAAGAAGGAAGAATGAAAGAATAGCCAGTAGAAACAAAGAAAAAATTTTTGGAAGAAATAAAAGAAAAAGTAAAAAGAAAAAAATTTAAAAGAAAGGAATGAAAAAAAGAATTGTTATAATGTTGGAAAGAAAGAAAGAAAGAAAGAAAGAAAGAAAGAAAGATGTTAGGAGAAAGAAAGAAAGCTCTTTGATTGCTTGCTTGTTGTATAACGAGATGGTAAACAGGAATGAACGGGCAAATGTATAAGAAAGAATAATAAAATTGAAGAATCTGTTATTAAACGAAGTCTTCATCAAGCAAAGAAATATATAAAAAGCGAATGAAATTAAAAGCGACAGTTTTAAAAGAAATCAAAGATGAAAGAAAAATAATCCAAAAGAATGAAAACAAGAATGTAACGAAAAAGTGAAAAATATTTAAAAGCAAAACTCTAAAAAAGAACGTGTCAAAAAAAAAAAAGAAACAAAACATCGTCAGTCTGTAGAATCTGTCATTTTAACGAGTCGCGCAGATGAAAAGTTCAAGCGATGAAACTGATTTTATCCTTATCATAACAAGAAAAAAACATCGAAAAGATTTTATAGATCGCGACAGAAATAAAGCAACGATATCCATCACGAAATGGCGGTGAAACGAGCGTGTGGTGAGAGCTTAATCGTTATTTACCTGAGTCTAACACCAGATGGCATACCGGTCGATCGCCATGATTCCGTAACCAACACAAGCCTTTCTATTTCTGTACTTTGATTGTGGAGAACCTGTAAATGGACTTGCACCGAATCCAGCAAATGTTATTTACAGACTGAAGTATTAATAGCTTTTTTTATTTGTAATCACAATTTTTTTGTATCCTATGTGCATTATTCTTAATTTTGTCCATTGTTTTTTTTGGGTTTTTTCTTTTCTGAAAAGTAAACTACGGCTGTATCAAGCAACAGAGATTCTTCCTCTATTTTTCTTAAGAATGTAAATTCGATATTTCGTTTGATTCTTAGAAAATTGTGTCTATTGTATAACTCTAGAATTCGTCCATTCTTAGAATATTGCTGCCACAAATATTGCGGTGTTCCTGCTATATATTTGGAGATTCTTGATAAAATCCAAAGAAGAATCAGCAATATTATTCGTCCTGATCTGGCGTCTTGACTTCAGCCACTTTCCCAGTTGCTTCCCTGTGCCCTTTCTATAAATATTTTCATGATAATTCTTCGGGTAAGATCTTCGCTATGATACCTATACTTTATGAATTTAAACACAGTATTAGATTAGCAACAAGGTAACATCAATTAACAGTTGAATTGGCTTAATGTAAGTTCTATGCTAACGATTTGTTTTCTCGCACTTCTCGCTTACAGAAATCTCTCCCGGTTCCATGATTTCTAGTTAACTTTGATCTTCAAAAATTTAAATGCAATGTCAATCTTTATCTACTGTCTTCCTGACTAGTCATCTATTGTTCTCTATACTTTGTAAAGTTTCTATTTTTTCACATAAGTAACCGCTTGTTTCTTAGTGGCTTTACTGCCTTGTTTGAGGTAAATTCGATTAAAAAATACTATAGGCCCTGAGTGAAATAAACCAAAGATATAAAGGTTATCAATTTCTTCGTTATAAATGTATTTCCGCACAATAAATCTTTAATCATTTAGTCAATGAGCGCCTTTTGTGCTAATGTTGTCACTACTCTCCTCTATCTCACAATTGTGGTTCAAGGTGACATTCAAGGTAGAATAGTCTAATGGCTTGCCGGTTCCTTTAGCACCGGGGATGGTGACGTTATTCTCTCAGAAGCCAAAGAGGCAAAACCCTCAAGATGGTTTGAATTCAGAATTTTCCTTTTCCTAGACAGGCGATAGTGTGTAGAGGCTGTACGCTGCCCAAACTGATAGCCAACTGCGTTCAGAGTCCCACTTCGAGGGGTTTTTTTTTCTGGAGTTACTTTCATAACTTTTCCGTGCTTTTGGACAGAACCGCATGCAGCGGAGGTTTAAAATCAGGGCTTCCTCTCCCCTAGATTGACTGCCTTCCTGGCCAATCGAACCCCATCTACCAGAACCAACTGGTTATGAGGTGACAGTTTTCCGCTTTCGCCCATCCTGTTGCTTGGAGCTAGAGTTTGTTGTCAGAGATAATGTGAGAGGTATACCACAGAATCATTTCATAAACAATGGAAACTTGTCTCCCACACTCATGCCCGGCTTTGACAACCTTTGAAATATAATATGCATATATAAACATTTATAAACATTACGTGTTTTAGAAGCTCCCAAAACATTTAACTTTTTTTAATATATAAAATTTTAGGTAAACAAAAACAATAGAAATCAAGACAAATTACGAAATATTCCATAAATAATCGAACACGAATATCGAAAATGTGTTAATTTTACAAAAGATTGCATGATAATAGATATAGGGTTCTAAGCCTAAAATTCTTGGAAATTTATTATTTAATCACTACTGAGTAATGAATGATGAGTTGCATAACGGACCGGTAGGTGAGGATTTTATAGTGAGAAGATCGTTACACGGGGACAATCCCACTGTCTCGGCCTGAGAAGTTTTGATCCAGTGGCACGGGGAACCATTACAACGGATGACCTGGACTTCTTTAAGGCGCTGTACAACACTTCCTGCCATCGCATTTCATAACCATTGGATCCACAGATGATATGTTCCGCTCGTTCTGACGGGAGTCAGTCTTCGCATGCAGTAGGGCTGACACGGCCCAAGCCTAACTCATCGAGAGTTTCAGACCCGTCGGCTACCCTCATCTGGTTTGGTTGGCCCGCCAAAGCCGTTGCCCGAGGAATGGCCGCAGTTGTATGCGACAGCTTCAAGAAGCCACAGGTGAGAGATGGATGACAGGTGAGGATCAGTGACAGATTCTTGCTCAAGATACACCACTGCTGTTATGGCTCCAGTGAAAGTGATACCTATACGACCCTAGATATTAATAGATATTAAAATTTATGAACTTATATACTATGTACATATTCTTTTGGTAACATTTAACTTATATCAACACCACTGGTAATCATATTTTTCTAATTTTCAACGTACTAAACATACAATAAAATCATTTATACTGTCTTTTTGGCAGTACTAATACCAAAACTATAAACTGATAAAAAACGAGCATAGAGTAGAAAATGCAAAGTTGTTAAATAAAATTTTAGGTAATCAAAAACAGAAAATAAAAATAAAACAAACTTCAAGTTAGTTGTACAAAAACATAAATACTAATGCAGAAAAAACGTTGAAAGAAAAAATTATAAACTATACATAAATAATCTCTATCTATAAAAGGCAGGATGTGTGTGTGTGTGTGTGTGTGTGTGTGTGTGTGTGTGTGTGTGTGTGTGTGTGTGTGTGTTTGTAACGAATGCACGGCCGCAATTTTCGACGGATTTGCACCAAAATTTACATGCACATGCTCCAAGTTAGTGGGAAGGCCAAGACCGACTTTGTATTTCCCAATTCCCATCGATAGTGGAAATAATCGATTTTTTCATGCTTCTATGGCAGTTTTCATGTAGTTTGCGGCCATTTTCTACTGGCCAGAGTGAGAGCCTATAGCTGGTTGCCACGAATAAGCAGGAAGATTCTATTGGCCAGTGTGAGAGCCAACAGCTGACCGACACGAATTTTACCTAGCATGCTAGCATGCAAAAAAATCGATAGCTGCATTCGTCACAAGTGGGAAAAATTTAAATCTGCATGGCACTTTACTCCAATTGGCACATTCGCTTGCTTAAACTCAACGTTGATTCTGATTCCGCAGAAATGGGTTGGATGTGAAAAAGTATTTGTTGTTAACATTCTTTTTTCATTCGGTTTTTCCAGTTACGAGTCCTTTTTTAAAGCTGATCGTTTTGTGTTCATTTTGTTTAGTTCTTTTTTCGTAACAGATTTAATGTTTAGTATAGAGCTTGGAAAAAATTTGCAGTGTGAGATAGGCAAGAAGTAAGGCATGTAGCAACATCAGCACGGCAAAGGGCACTCCTTTAAAGGCAAGGAAGGGCAAAAATATTTTAAGTCAAGTGATAGCGAATGCTGTATGAGTCGTGCGATTTTTGAATCAAGCACGGGCAACGCCGGGCCATGCTGCTAGTTTAAAATAAATATAATAATTATAGTATATATAATAAATGAAATAAAAGAAATAATAATTCCAAATTATATTAAATTATTATAGTAGTTTTAAAAAAGAAACAGTATTCATATTTTCTAGTTAAACTTAAATCTGTTAATTTTTCTGGAGCTTCTGAAAACGCTTCAGCATTCCTTGAGTTCAGAACGCCTGGATTAATTATTAATTATTAGGATACTATAAGCCTAAGAGATAATGCGTTTTCGTTCTTTTTAGCTGGCGTACTTGGTGTAAAGGATATGGGCACCGCATGCGGATTAGGTCGAGACGAGTTCGATATTTGCTCGATTCTGTTTCGTTCACTTCGTATTATTGCCCTTGGAAAAGGCATGAACCCATTTTCCTACAGTTTTGCTTTAAGTACCAGAGCAGACTGTGTTCTGTTGCCTTGATGAGGCAACTAGTATAGAATTTATAACCAGCCTGCCGTGGGTGAGGCTCAGTCAGTCTATCTTGCTCAAGACACACCACAGCTGTTATGGCTAACCATACAACTCTAATTGTTTTCTGGACACACACATACACGCACACACAATATAAAATTGCAATAATAAATAGATATTAAAATTTATAAACTTATATTAGGTTGGTGCGAAAATAATGACGTAATAATGTCGTTTTTTGACGTTAAAAAATACGTCAAAAAAAAACATTATTACGTCATTATTTTTGCACCAACCTAATATAATATGTGCATATTCTGTCGGTAGCATTTAAGGTATATCACTACCACTGGTAATCACATTTTTTTTTAAATTCTCAACGTACAAAATGTAAATACAGCACCGAATCCTTTGAAAAAATAAAGTAGTTTAAATGTTAGAAAATAATGTTTTACAACCATCAGCAATACTCGTCTTCTTCTTCTTTTTCTTTTTCTTCTTCTTTTTCTTCTTCTTCTTTTTCTTCTTCTTCTTCTTCTTTTTTATCTTTATCATCATGTCTCTCCCAATATTTTGTAGTTCTAAGCATTGTTTGCTCTTTTACTGTCACTCATAATTACTTTTCTGCCATCCATTTACACCAACTTGTTAGGTAGGTTTATTATGGTTTTCTCCTCTTGCCTTCAATGACTTGTGAGTGTCAAATTCTTCAATCCATCTTTCTTCATTATGCGTCCCAGAAATTTCAACTGTCTTTTTTCTTATTCTAAACACAAGTGCATTTCTCGTTCCCATTTTCCTAAATCTTTTCTCATTGCCTACGTGTTCCATGGCCTTCTCAGCAATTTTCTGTTGCTTCATGTCACTCCATCACCGTTAAGGAAAGTGTCCAGAATTCTCTTCCCTTTCGGAGAGTTGATATTACATCGCGCCTGAGCAGTCTTTTCTCTGTTATATCCTTTTATTCCGTCTTTTCGAAATGGTCCTTTATTTATTCGAGGTAATGGCAGGGCGTTACGCACGTGCTAACGAACTTAGTAACTTACTAACGAGCTTAGTAACTTATTAAATAGCGAAAAAAACAAGCAGAATTATAAAATCGTATTTGGTCATGTGTGATATTAGTCTCAGTCTGTTATATGCCATACATGATGCACGCTTAGGCGATCATGTATCTTTCGATACTCACTGATTCCTAAAGCTGAGCCACTACCCATTACTCCACCCTGCCTAATTAATAAATAATAATAATACACGAAAAGAATTTTATCATAACAATTCTTGTCTTCTTTACTTTTCGCCTCACCGGAAGTACTTGGTGTCGTTGGTTCTCTCGTGCTATCATTTGCGCGTTTAAAACAGCCCCAAAGAGCTTCAATCTTTTCTTAAAATATGTTCACCTTTTCGTTTCCTTTTTTTATTTGCTGTTCTTGTTAAACTCTAGTGAAAATGACAGTTGGATTTTTTTTTTTTCGGTAGGAAATGGTAGTAAATTGAGTTCAAGGAATCCCGTCCGAGTGGCTTATTTACAGAAAATTCGCTTCAAGACATCGAAAAGTGCAAAGGGTGTAATTGGAAATATTAAATAAAAAAATAGCTGAAAGAAGAAAGGGCCTATTAAAAAATAGAAAAATATTACCGTCTTGTTGACTGCATGAATTCGAAAAAAGAAAATATAAGATGAATAAAAACGTGGACGTTGATTGAAAGAGAAGTGAAAATTGAGCATTCCAAGCGAAAAATTGGTTAGAAACCAGAGGCAGAACTCGAGGAAAGGAAGCTAACTTAAAATTAAACTTCCTGTACTAAAAGCGCCAATCAATCAAATGGTAATTTGAAAAACTATCCGTAAAGTCAGTTAATCGTTTTTTTTTTTTTTTTTTTTTTGTTTTTGTTTTTTTTCTTCTTTTCCTTTTTTTTTGGGGGGGTAATAACATCCTCATCTTAATATTAATTTTATATTAAAATACTATTTATTGATATTTATCGTCTTAATGTTATACGAGAGTAAGTCAAAAATTGTCCGCACTTTCGCCATAACATACCTTTAGGTTTGTCCCACCGCCTTCTGCTCATGCGGGATTATATTTGGTACTATTGTGGTCAAGTGATATAAGTTTGAGCTTGATCGCACACGTTTTCTTGCTGTTCTGAAGGCGGAACAAAGAGCAGTGATCCGAATTTGCTGTGAACGTACTACCTCATCGATAACTCGCCAGTTCGCCATTACCATCTCTCAAACTTGCTCAATATTCTCGTCAGTGTTGAAAATTGACGGGCGTCCTTCAGCGTGTGTCACGCTTGTCCGGTCAGGCTTTAAATATCTCGATCCACTCATACACACTTCTACTCGGTAATACACTGTCGCCGTATTGTGTTAAAAGCCTCCGATGAGACACACCTTTAGACCAGAGAAATCGAATCATTGCTATTTCTTCTTCCTTAGCGAACACTGTCAGCGGAGCCGCCATATTTAGAAATGGTGGCATAAAGAAACATTTGGCGTAGGCCGAAATGGCACGTTAGCAATCATGGCTCTCCACAATTTCCTGTTCTTTGTAGCACTTTTGTCTTTTTGATATCCCTCCTAAATGCGCCGCTATTTATTTAATCAAACTCTCCTGGTAAGTAACGCTTTGTTTTCCTCTGTATCGCTTGCCTTTAATCTCTCCTGTCCTGTGATTATCAAACTTTCCAAGCCCTCTTTCTCCATTGTCTTCTCTAGAAAATTTAACTGTCTCTTCCCGATGTTAATTATAAATACATGCTGCTCCCTCTGTTCATCAAAAGAGTGAAGTCATGCTTATTGGGTGTACTTTCAAAAATTAAACTACAAAGCAAATAAGAAAAAAATGAATCAAGTCATTTTGTTTCATTACATAATCTTCCTCAGAAACAGAACAGCGATTATCACAGGAGTGCTTGAAATCTTGTCAAGGACCTTTTCGAAAAGACGGGGAAAACTTTTAACTTCATCCGATGAAATAGAATACTCAAAACAAAAATTAATTCAAATACTGAAAATGGTAATGACATTATTAGCCGTTTCCCTACAAGAAAACTTTTGGCATTCATTGACGGGTCGGTTGCAATTTATAAAAACTTTCTC